TTGCAGCACACGTCCATTCTTGGAAGAGATTGAGAAGAAATGGCTATCTTTCCAACTCCTTTGCGCCGTGCGAGACTGCCACGCGCGGAACATCTATCACGGTGACATCAAGACCGAAAATGTTCTTGTCACGTCCTGGAACTGGCTGTATCTCGCAGACTTCTCATCGTCGTACAAGCCAGCACATCTACCCGAAGACAATCCTGCCGACTTTTCCTTCTATTTTGACCTTTCCGGACGACGTACTTGCTACCTCGCACCGGAGAGATTCCTAGCTGCTGGACAGCAACCCGAAGGCGAGGGGGATGTCAACTGGGCCATGGACATCTTCAGTGTCGGCTGTGTCATCGCTGAGCTATTCCTGGAAGCCCCCATCTTCTCTCTCAGCCAACTGTTCAAGTACCGACAAGGCGAATACAATCCCGAGCATTCTCATCTCAGCAAGATTCAGGACAGTAGCATACGCGAGTTGATACTACACATGATACAAGTGGATCCCAATTCTCGGATGACTGCCGAAGACTACCTGACACATTGGAAAGGCAAGGTGTTCCCGACTTACTTTTACGGCTTTCTGCAACAGTACATGTACTCCATTACCGACCCATCATCAGGGCGCAAGCCAGTAACCACCGGATCAGAACACCTTGGCGAGCCCGATGAGCGTATAGACCAGATATATAGCGACTACGACAAAATTTCACACTTACTATCGAACGAGGAAGGAAAGGAACTCACCAAACCTGAGTTCACCCCTCCAAAACCGCATGCCAAGCTCTTTCCGCTCTTCGTTAACATACCAAATTATCAACACCAAGCCTCCCCAGCGCGGAGCCTGGCCATCGATGACGGCAACTTGGTCTTTCTAACCATCGTTGTATCCTGTCTGCGAGGAACAGCAAGATCTTCCGCTCGCGTTCGAGGCCTGGAATTACTCTTGGCATTCTCCGAACGTTTAACGGATGAAGCAAAGCTGGACCGTGTGATTCCCTACGTCGCTCAATTACTAGTCGATAAGTCTGAACAGGTCAAGATCGCTGCGTTGCGCACCTTGACACAGATACTCGCCATGGTTCAAGTTGTCTCTCCAATCAACGCCTACATCTTCCCGGAATATGTCCTACCCCGTCTAGAGGCATACCTCCCTGACTCTTCTACAAACGTTGGTCCCCTTGTTCGAATGCAGTATGCGTTTTGTATCGGTACTCTGGCAACCACTGCAGCTAGGTATCTGGACATGATCCAGGCTCTACGCGCAGAAGGATCGTTGCCGAATGCGGATCCTGAAACCGAAGATGACATGTCTTCATCCGCCCACCGGAACCAGTTCGATTCGGATCGTCGCATCCTCGTAGAGGCCTTCGAGAAACACACGAAAGCCCTCCTTACCGATAGTGACGCCTCTGTCCGTCGAGCTATGCTACGTTCTGTCTCTGACTTGTGTGTCTTTTTTGGAAGCCCGCGGGCCAACGACGTCGTTCTTAGTCATCTCAATACGTACCTGAACGACCCAGACTGGATGCTCAAGTGTGCCTTCTTTGAAGGCATTGTCGGCGTTGCCGTCTTCGTTGGCGGTGCTAGCTTGGAAGGTTACATTCTACCGCTCATGGTCCAGGCCCTAACAGATCCAGAAGAGTTTGTAGTGGAAAAGACCATTAGAGCGCTTTCATCCATGGCAGAGCTTGGTCTATTTCAGCGGTCCAAGACATGGGAACTGGTGGATATACTTGCACGCCTCACAATGCATCCTAATCTATGGATTCGAGAGGCAGCTGCACAGTTTATCTCAGCTGCTTCTCGATACCTTTCAGTCGCCGATACGCACAGCATTCTGGTCAACCTTATCCGACCTTACCTTAAAGTCATCCCCTCTGAATTCTCTGAAGTACGGATTTTGGAATCGTTAAAGCCACCAATGTCACGGTTGCTCTTAGATATGACCTCAAACTGGGCGCTGCAGGCTCAGAAGGGTCAATTCTGGGTTGCAGCCAGGCAGCAGCAAACCTTCACCTTTGGGTCATCAGAAGATAGTCTACCCACAATCTCTGGGCGCGAACTAGACCAGAAGATACTACAGCGGCTACCAAAGAACGAAGAGGACGACCTGTGGCTACGAAAACTCCGCAACGCCGGTATGACGGCAGAAGACGAATTCAAGCTTGTTGCTCTGCGGGAGTTCATTTGGAGAGTGAGCAATCGCCGACGCTCGGATGGTCTCGCCGCTCCGACCACAAAGTTCAACAGCGTTGTCGTACTGAATGACCTTGGTATCAAGGCTCAGACGGTGCTCTTTGATGAAGACGTCCGTCAGGTCATGGAACAGACTAGGAAACCCAGCGCTCCAGAGGAGCACATTCAACCTCGAACGATCAAGGACGCTCTGCTGGATGCATCAACTACAGAGGCTAATGGGCTAGCCGAGCATTTTGAAAGTCAAGCTGGGCGACTGATACGCGAAGAGAGGGGTATCACGATCCCATTGCGATCGAAAATGTCTTCTTCCAACGAGGTACATTCCAATATTGGCTCACCACCTTCCGAGGCAGACATGCGGAGAAGGTCATTGCAGATCACGCGGCCATCTCTTTCCCCATCCAATTCCGTCGGCTCAACAGATTTATCCAGCAGCCTTCGCCATCGTAGTAGTGCTTTGGGACTGCTCGGCAAAGGAGAAAACAAAGCCTTAGCTGAGATCGGCACCACATCTGCCAACGCGTTCGGGAAGGTCGACGGTACTCATGTTCGAGACTCCTCTCGATCGCGACCTCCCAACTCTCCTCTCGCTACAGAACGATATGACCGGAGTCCAATGAGAGTTCGGTTCAGGAACGCACATAACTATACAGGCAACGATCCGGCAATTCTCAAGCTTCTAGATTCCATGCTCCTGGAGCGTTTTCCCACGGATGAGATCGAGTTTGGCCCTCGCATACAATCTCCGATTAGGCGACAGCCCATCAGGTATAAAGACGCTCATCAGTCGCCAGCCGGCATACCGTGGAGACCAGAAGGCACCTTGGTGGCGAGCTTTGGAGAGCATACCGCTGCAGTAACGCGCATTTTGGTCTCGCCTGACCAAGCTTTCTTCATCAGTGCGTCAGATGACGGGACTGTGAAGATTTGGGATACGTCACGTCTCGAGCGAAACATTACCCGGAGATCACGACAGACTTACAGACTAGGAGAGGATGTCAAGGTCACGAGCCTGGTTTTTGTGGAACAGACTTACTCGTTTGTCGCAACGGGTGATGATGGTAGCGTACATGTGGTCCGCGTAGACTACATCCAGAGTCACGATGGAAGTGCCAAGTTCGGGCGGCCTCGACTTCTTCGCGAATATCAACTCCCTAAGGGCGACTGTGCAGTATGGTCAGAACACTACAATGGAGACAACAGATCGGTCCTCTTGTTAGCTACTGATACCTCAAAGGTCATTGCGCTGGATCTGAGGACAATGGAGCTGCTGTACACTCTCAGCAATCCTTTGGATCATGGTACCCCTACGTGCTTCTGCGTTGATAAGAGAGCGCATTGGCTACTATTAGGAACTTCTCATGGTGTCCTCGATCTCTGGGATCTTCGGTTCAAGCTTCGTCTCAAGGCTTGGGTATTCCACGGTGCTTCGCCGATACACCGCCTCCGTCAGGTCTTCTTCCCCAAGTTGAAGAAGACCCGATTGTATATCAGCGGTGGCAGCGATCAGGGTGAGGTCACTGTGTGGGACTTCGAGAAGCACATCTGCAAAGAAGTCTATCGTACGGGACTGTGCAAAGATACTGGGACCAAGAGCACCACCCTCATCGACTTGGACGAGGAGAAAGCTGGTGGCATGCTCGGTCGCTTCTCAACCAGCGTCGAACCCACGGCTAGCTCGACGGCGGACCGCGGCGTTCGAGCACTAGCCATCTGCACACAGGCGACCGATGAGAAAGGCGAGTCGAAACACACATTCCTTCTCACAGCAGGCCCCGACTGGAAAGTTCGGTACTGGGACACCAATCGGCCAGAATCATCGACAGTGGTGAGTGGTCTAGAGCCTGACGAAGGTAAACCAGCATATACCGCATCGCAGCCGAGTCCAGATACTATTGTCATTACGGAGAGATTACAGCAGCCGGCCGGTCAGGTGGGTAATGCAAGGGATAGCCGGGCAAGTACCTCAGCAAAGAAACCACCGGCCAAATCGTCAAGGTCAGGTGCCATCGCGTTGCAGCAACAGTACTTGCTCAAGGGCCATGTGGATCGTGTAATGGACGTGGCCTTGATTGAGCAGCCTTACGGCATGGTTATTTCGGCCGACCGATCGGGCGTGATCAACCTATTTATGTAGAGGCTTCAATCCCTAAATACAACAGTACGAAATGGCCCCGCCAGGTTTACAGTGTCTGAGTGGTGTCTAAAAATGATATAGACGTCGCGAGTTAGTTATGCAAAGTATTGCTTCCGAAGTTGGGTGTGGTGGTTAGTGCACAAGCCTCGGTTCCGCCTCCGCCCAGACAGCATCGTTGATCCTCTCCCTTCAACACTGGGGAAGTCTTGCAAAGTATTTCCCCAACATTGCTTCGCCATGGGTATGCGAAGCGTACTTCGCGATCGCCGTACTCCGATGAATCCTGGTATCTTATCCCGACACGTGCATACCTCCTTCCCAACGCGTCTTAGCCAACTGTGAGGCGTTCCGCGTATCTTTATCAACACCGAATCAGAGCGCGCGCCCAACTCAGGTGAGAATTCGACACGATATCGGAGGTTCCCACGCTCATGGATTCGGTTCCTGTTCCTGCAGCGACTATCATCAAGGTGCCCAGATGAATGCCGGATTCGGTACAGTTGCTGGGTATGCGGCGTGGCTGGATTTTGGTACCGGTTCAACCGGATTAGGGCTGTGAGGGTGTATATAAGCTGTGGCTTCTCAATAGTTGATGAGACGCTAGGAAGCTTGTTGCGCTGCTTCCACGTCCTTCACAACCTGCACATTAGTTCTACAGCCAATCGTCGACATGCGCTTTTCTCTGAAAACCGCCCTTGCGTTAGCACTGGGCCTCGCCTCATCCTCGGATGCGCTCAAGATCCTCATGGGTAATGATGATGGATTTGGCAGTGGAAATCTGAGGGAACTATACAAGTTGCTTGTTGATGCCGGCCATGAGGGTAAAGACTTCCATATTATATATTCTCTGGCATGAAGTACTCACTGCTAATCTGTCATCAAGTGCTCGTCGTCGCGCCAGCGCAGCAACAGTCGGGCAAGGGCAGCACCGTCATCTGGGCAGAGTCAGCAAACCTCACGATTGCGTCCCAGTACGACATTATTCCTGCAGGTGCGCCAGCAGTCGGCAGAGATCCAAACGACGAGAACATCTGGTACTACGACGGAACACCCGCGGCGTGTACGTTCGTGGCGCTCGACTATGTGCTTCCGCGTTACTACCCCGACTGGCATCAGACAGCCGATCTCTTCGTTGCCGGACCGAACTACGGCACAAACCTCGGTCCCTTCGTGATGCTCCTGAGTGGCACCGCAGGCTCGACTTTCGCTGCTGTATCGCGATCTATCCCCGGGATCGCCACCAGCGCAAGTAATAAGGCGGTGCCTTACTTCAATGTAACAAGCGCCTCGGACCCCGCCGCATTGGCTGCCAAGGTCTCCTTCGAGGTAGTAAATGAGTTCATCAAGAACACACCAGAAGGACAGAAAGTGCTGCCTCTGGGTTATGGCGTCAACGTCAACATTCCCGAGCTTGTTAACAGCACCATGCCCCCAGTGGTCAAGACCAGGCTCACAGGCGAGGCCAACACAGACGTGGCAGTCTACAACGAGACAAGCGGCCTCTTCACGTGGGACAACGTCGACCCCTTGGCTGCTGGAATCAATGCTGCGTACAATGGCGATACAAGTCTGCCGGGCGAGACGTGGGTCGTGGCTGGCGGCGGTGTTAGTGTGAGCGTGTTCACCATGGATTTCTCAGCGCCGAGCATTGAGTACACAGAGGCAGTTTATGGCAAGGCTGAGAGCCTGTTCAGTGCTGGTTCAAGTGTAAATAAGACGGGCTACAGCAAGAGGATGATCGAGGAGCGTATGCGCAAGAGGGGAGCTATGCTCAGCGGACGTGACGGCGGAGCATGAAGCTCGCGTCCCTCTGGCCGTTGTTAAGTAATCAATAAATAACGCTGATGGCGGAAGCCATGGAGCTGGGAGCAATGCCCCACACCAACCGTTCCTGCCTCAAACACGGACCACGCTCAAACACCAACATAAGTAATCATCGCTTCTCTGCGCGCCGTTCTTTGCTGTCAAACCGCGGACGCCAAACTCCCTCTGGCAATGTGACAGGTACTGTAGATGCTAAGCTTTTGCCAAGCTCATGCGCGGCGGTGCCTCAGTCGCAGGTTCTGACGTCCAGAGGGTTTCACAGCCTCGCCGTTCAGGAACGACATTTCGCTCAGGCCTTGCAGGGTTGCGCGATCCATCGTTTGGCGACGCGCAACGTTTGTAAGTTCAGTTTGAATTATCCTACTCGTGGGAAGATTCCACCAGGCGCTGAGTCGATGTGTTTTGGTGGTCGGCGCATAGAGCCCCTACGCCCGAGATCGTGTACCAGACGGCGCCTGGAGAGGCGCTCAGGCGGAACAGCTCGGCATGAACGAAACCTCAGGATCGGAGATGCTGCTTTGGGTGTGTCTGGCCTACAACTGCGCTTCGTCGAGCAACTTGTATAAGAACGCATTGCAAACCCGCCGTCTTAAGTTTCTTACTATCATCAAGCGTTTTCAATCATCTTCGAGTACTTTAAACATATCCAGCTTGACGCTGTAGATTCGATTCTCATACCCTCTTTTACTACCGTAACAGCTGCGCTGTACTTACCCTCACTTTTACTCTCTCGAATAATCTATACATACATATTCACCATGTACTTCCAGTCTTTCGCCATCCTTTCGCTCGCTGCGTTCTCTGTCGCCGCACCTACTTCCAACAAGCGCGCAGTGGTTGCCCGCCAGGCCGGCCCAGTCCTCGCTGACACAACTTACAATGACATTTCGATCTCTGGCGGACAAGCTGGAAACGCGCAGGCAGAAGCTATGGCAGCCTTCTCAGCACTCGACTTGCAGAACCCGGGAAACATTGACCCGGCGGACCTCACCTTCCTCAATGAAGTCAACCAAGTCGCCAACGATGCGGAGAAGGAGGCTTTCAACCCAGCAGTCGAGGCTGCTACCGGCGATGAAGCCGATCAGATCCAGGTACGTGTTCTTTTACATAGACTGCGCTGCAGACCTAACACTACTGCAGGCCGGAAAGATCAAGAACAAGGTCTTGAAGCTCATGGCCACTGTTATCAAGCTTCAGGCTCAGCAAGCCCAGGGAGATGACACGGTTGCCGACAAGCTTGCGGAGGAAATGACGAAGCTCCAAAACAACATCGATCAGGATACCGCGGCTGCTGGTCAGGTTTCTATTGCTGAGCCGTTCGATGCTACCATCTCCGGCGGAGGAAACTAATGTGGAAGAGAGTGTTTGATTGCTGGACTGTCAACATCTGGAGCGCTTACTCTCACTCCTTGAAACGTTCTTCTGCGCTGCACCAGTAAACTTTAGTAGTTAATTATTTAGCTATATGCAATTGCAAAAGTTACCTACTTTCACAACACCTTTGGCCAGTCGTTACTCCTTTGAAGTGCTCTCATCAGTCTCTTATGTCTTCTAATGTTTGATTGTATTATTTTAAATGACCCTAGGCACGACGATGGTTCGCTCGTTGGTGGCGTGAGTTCTGGAGCATGGCTTGGCGGGCAACAGCTGATGGCCGGGACTTGAAGAAGTGCCGAGCGTGGAGCCTCGGAACGGCGTCGGCTTCGCGTCATGGCATGTTCGTCGACGTTAAATACTCTGGCCTTGAAACGGGCGCACTGCACCTTGATACCCGTTGATATTCGCGTAGCATTTATCCTTCGTCTCGTGATCTTTGCGCATTATCTTTTGTCCTTGTGCCATTGGCCATCCGTACACCATGTCGAAGCTGTCGCCGACGCTCAAGTCGCTCATCAATGCCGCGCACTCGCGCCCGGGCCCCGTACCAGCACCACCGAGAATCCAGGCTGTATACAAACGGATAGAAGAAGAGGCCACAGAGCGCAAACTCGGGCGACCATCATGGCTGGGCATTTCCACGGCCGCGACCATGACGATGAACTCGCCCGAGTCCATGGTCGCCCTCTACAACAGCTCGACTGCAACTAGACCCGAGAGTGAGGGCGTTGCGACAGCGGAGTTCATGCGCGAAATTGGTCTCAAGTGCATAGGCTTCAATGGTGTAAGTAGCCAGCCTTCCAAAAGAACCAGTGTCGTGTACTAAGACACAATACAGATCCCGCGCACAATCAACATGCTCAACGCCTTCCGCGCTGAACTTCCTTCGTCGATCGCTTCCAAGCTAAACACCAAACCTACGCGCTTTCCCGATCCCTCCAACGTTGAGCACATCAACAACCGCGGTCGCGCTCTCTGGAATGCCATCTACCGCCCATTAGAAACCAAACTCGAACACAAACTCGGCGAGGCACACCCCGATCTGCCCGTCTTCATCATCAACAGCGAATACGGCGGTCTGTTCACAGACCCTCCCCGCAAGGAAGGAGCGACCGTGGGCCGCATAACCACCAGCCTGATTGCTATCACATGCTTAAGAGCACAACAAGGAGTTGGACCACAGGTGCTCAGTCATGTCTTTGGGCTGAGGAAGGCTTGGGAAGATGGCACGTGGAAACAAGAGCCCGAAGCGGGAGAAGAGGAGGGAATTAAGTGGCTAGTCAGTGATGAAGGATGCACATGGGTGCTGGAGAAGGTCGATGAGCTTGTTGAAGCTCTCGGCGGTGGACAGGGAAGCACATTTGCGCCTGTCAAGTCCAAGTTATAGGGTTGTGTCGAGTACATTGAGAGATGACGAGATATAGTATGGACATGGCCCAGGAGATTAAGGCGTCTTAGTGTCCTCGTCTTGGTCGCGTATTGACGAACGAAAGGTCTCAATACATCCTACACGCTGCCACATTCAAATTTCCGTCACCCTTCCGCGCGACCCGGTCGTTCGACAATACCGAGTTTCTGGTAGAAGTCGACCGGCTAATATCTCCATGCCTTCATAGTTCAGCCGATCCGCGCTTATCTCCAAGTCCTTCCCCGCTAACCATCCCGCAAAGCTTGAATTCAGCCCCACCTTCTCCGACATGTTGGTCTAGCGCATCGTCTCATTCGAAGGCTTACGTCCGAGACCCGAGGGATACTCACGTCACTCCGCAATATTGACGGGCTGGAGACTATGGTTTCCCTGGTGAGTTTACCCTAGCTCATACCGGCTGGGTAAATGAGAGGTGTGTTGCGATCATTGCGTCGTCATTGATGGGAATGCATTCGTGATTGTCTCGTTCTGTGTTAGAAGCTTCAATTAGCAGATGAGGTACGATGTATAAATGAAGCTGCCTGAAAGGCTTTGGTCAGACGTTTATTGGCTTAGCTATTCGGACATAGCAACGATGGCGATAACATTCTTACTACCACTGCTCTATGCCGGAGGAGTTTGTGCTCAGTATGTTCCCGTACCGTGGGCATACACACAAAATGAGCCACCCGTTAAGGTCACCGTTGACGCTACTGTGCGACATCAGACGATGATCGGAGGTGGCTGCTCAGGAGCCTTTGGTGTCGCCTGCGATCAAACCGGATCTCGAGGCCTCTCGCCTTCAAACCAACAGCTTGTCAGCGACTACTTGTTCAATGAGAATCTCGGAGGTCTTTCTGTCTTGCGCAACCGCGTTGGATCGAGCCCTACAGACGGTATTCTCGGCAGCTGTCCTACATCCCCATCAGCACCGGCCAATTACTCAGGCTTGGGAACGAACGATTCCACCGCCGACAGTTGCCAGCTCAAGCTCACTCAACAAGCTTTGACAGCCAACCCGGATCTGTTCATCTATGCAGACGCTTGGTCTGCTCCCGGTTGCTTCAAGACCGATGCCACGGACATCAACGGCGGACTCATCTGCGGCGTGCGCGGAACCAACTGCACTCACGATTGGCGACAAGCATATGCGGACTACCTTGTGGAGTACGTCAGATTGTATGAAGACAAGGGTATCAACGTCAACTTGATCGGTGCTTACAACGAACCCGATTTCAACCCCGTTACCTACGCTAGCATGGACTCGGATGGATACCAGGCTGCCGACTTCCTCAAGGTTCTCTATCCCACTGTCAAGAAGTACCGCGAGGACTTGAAGGTGTCCTGCTGCGACGCTACTGGTGCTCGTCAAGAACGCAATCTGCTTTACGAACTGGATCAAGCTGGTGGCGGCAAGATGTATGATGTCGCGACATGGCACAACTATCAGAGTATGCCTGAGCGACCTTTCAATACGCATGGTCAGCCGAATATGGAGACTGAATGGTCGGACGGTAGCGGTCCTTTCAACACTACCTGGGACACAACTGGTCAGCTGGCGGAGGGTCTACAATGGGCGATCTATATGTAAGTCATAAACATTGCATTCCCTTTTGACACACCGAACTGACTCCGCAAAAAGGCACCAAGCCTTCGTATACAGCGACACATCCGGCTACCTCCACTGGTGGTGCGCGCAAGACAACCCCGGAAACACCACCGGTAGCGACGCCATCCTCGTACGTCTCCGAGGTAACACCTTCGAAGTATCCCGCCGTCTCTGGGCCTTCGCCGGCTACTTCCGTTTCGCACGTCCCGGATCCGTTCGTATCGATGCTATCAGTCCTGCTGAGAACCTCAAGGTTACGGCGTTTGAGAATACGAATGGTACGCTGGCTATCCCTGTTATCAATGAGGCGCACTATGAAAGACAGGTTGAGGTTAGTATTAAGGGCTGTAATCTCACGATGGGCGTTGCGAATGCGTATTTGGCCGACAACGAACATAACAATACGATGGTTGGGACGTATGGGGTTAATGGGTCGGTGTTTGTAGCTTCTGTTCCGCCGAGGAGTATGACTACTTTCTTTTTGGAGTAGGAAATGATCCTAGATGTCTCAATCTTAGTCTAGTCCAATGATACTGTCCTCCTGCCAAACATGACTGTTCAGGTCCTGCAAAGTTATGAGAAGATCATTTGTCTGATCTAGCGCCGTAGCAATCGTCTGGAAAGCAATCAACACATCGTTCGACCGAACTGTGTTTGGATGTGCCCCACAAAAGCTTGTATGGCGTGTGCGTAGTTTCGTCCACGCCCGTCTTGTGAGCGACAACGGTGGGTATATCCCACCTGTCCCATTTAAGGACAGAGTGGTCCAAAAGCGATGATGAAATCTAACACGGAAGTGGAGCAAGACGGCCGTTCGTTTGTCGTGCTCCGCAAACACTGTAGGCGCCTGTCAGCGCACCTTTCATCGCTCACTGCGGTACTTCACCGCCGCTAGGCCCTTTCTGTGTATTTGCGACAAATTGCTTGCTCGAACCAACGCTAATTGCGCGCAAACGCAACGCTCAAACAGCTTTTCGTTGCTTAGCTTGCCTGTCTTCCGTCTTGTTTCACGCGCTGATCGACTCCGAAGTGCCGCGCAGCAGCAAGGAAATACATCATACACGAGAGCTACGATGGGAGACTGTCAGAATACCACTGGCGCATGCACTGGAAACCCTCCTCCAACGATGACAACCCCAGACTTCCCTCCGCAACCTGCCCGGGAATCTGCGCAAACTCCAAGCCAAGGATGTGCTCAGATGATCGTGCCTTTGGGCTTTGCAGCGCAGCTCCGAGCCGTACAAGAAGCACAGCGGGAACAAGCAGACCGCATCGCCAAGTTGGAGCAAGAAAACGCAGATCTCAAGGACTTCAAGGAGAGGATTATCGATATCGCCGACCGCGTTCAAGCTTTGGAGCAGCGTGAAGCTTATCGTGCCGCAAGACGCAGGGAAGCAGTCGGTCTACTCAGTAACATGCGTACCCTGCATCAAGAAGCCGACAATGGATTCCAGCAACGCACAGCGGACATGCAACCGGATGACCTCGAAGGAATGTTGGGCGCGTATGGCATCATGTTGACCACTGCAATGAACAACCACCAGCGCATGCTTGGCCAGATGCGTGCGAACGGCCAGTTTCCAGCGTACACAACACCAGTTCCGCAGACTCGACAAGTGCTTGCACCGGTGCAGCGGCTCCACGTTTATCCGCCGGCGTACTCAGAGCCTGGATTGTGCCATGCGCACAGCTTACCTTACTGCCGAGTGTGCGGTAAGTAGACGCCTAATAGTCTCGTTGTCTCGCGGTTGAGTTCTATTCCTGAAACCATCAGGAATTCGACACATCAATACCGGCGCTCCATCTACCAAAAACTGAGGTTAAGAAGCCACTCTTCTTGAGAATGAATCGGGATCACAAGTTTACCTGATGAGGAAAATGGGAAGCTTGACGTTGGCGGAGCTTACCTTAGTTCATTCGTCTTGTGTTGAATCCTAGCAGTTATTGGGTTCCCAGACTTGATTGCGAATCATCGAGGGTGCTGGCAGGGGCGTCATACAATATCGCGCTTCTGTATGTTTAGTATTTTGAGCGTTTAATGCCGCGATGCAGGTACTGCCGAGATCTTGGTATCGGGGAGGGTATGCCATATCTGCGCACTTGCTTGATTCTGACTGCGTTCCAGTTGGAGAATAATCATTTCATTGATCGAACCCCGAGATCTGATATCGCGATGAGGTTATGTTTGTATATGTGAAGTAGTCAAGCGCGGAAGACGATAGTTGGATGCTGATGGAGAAGCAACGATGAGGTTTGAGAGCCTCCGCCAGGACGATACGCGACGCGTTCCGCTATTCCTAATCGGGATTGGCCTCGGCTTCCCAGCCTCCGCACATGACGCGACGCCGAGCGCGTTTCCTCAGCGATACTTCGTCGCCATCATCTCTGCAGCTCTCTCCGCGATGCCGTAAACGGCTGTCTGGATATGCGCTGAGATGATCATCGGAATAACGCTCGCGTCCACCACCCTGAGATTATCTACACCGTAAACCCTCAGTTGCGGGTCGACCACACCACCGTCCTCCTTCGGCAACATCGCGCAGGTTCCTAGTGGGTGGTAGAAAGTGAAGACGTTGTTCCTGATGTACGTTTCCCACTCTGCGTCTGTTTCAGTGCTCATGCCAGGATCGAACTCGGATACCCAGACATCTTTGAAGGGCGCGGTCATGGCCATCTTTCGTGTGTACTTCGCGGCCTGAATCAAAGCCTCTAGATCGTACGGCGTACCAAGATACCTCGGATCAATGAGCGGCTTGTTGGTTGGATCGGATCCGTTGATGTGGACTGATCCCCTAGAAAGCGGGTGCTGTACACCAGCCAGAAGCGTTGCATACTGCTTACCGTAGCCAGCTGTGCCATTCTTGGGGTAGCCGGTTGTTCCTATATAACCGTCACTGAAGACAACCTCCAAATCTGGTGCTTCGGAGTCCGGACCAGTGAGCAGTTCAAGCTTCTTTCGATCGACAGGATTCGACTTGTTCGCGGATTGCGTTGCCAGCTGGATGAGCTTGCTGTCGTCATCAAGAGCTTGCTTCCACTTCACGAAGCCGTAGCAGCTTCCGGCGTATTGGTAGAGCGAAGTACGGCCGCGCTTCCACAGATCCAATTCACTGGCCGCCAACGTCGTGTTATACTTTAGGATATCCACTCCAAGTATGTCGGGTTTGAGCTCATACGTGGTCTGAATGCGGAGATGGTCCTGTAGGTTCTCTCCGACGCCGGGAAGATCAACGATGTGCTCGACACCGGCGTTTTCCAACACGGACTTTTGACCTATCCCAGAAAGCTCCAAAATCTTTGGAGAAAGCAGGCTTCCGGCGGAAACAACTACCTCGCTCCTGGCTTGGATCAATGTGCCGTCCATGAGAATGACGCCAGTCGCCTTCGACCCATCCTCACCGAGTTGTATCTTTTGGACGGTAGTGTTGAACATGAAAACTAGGTTGTCGCCAGCTTCTGGAAGATAGTCCACGGAATAGGAGCGCGTATGATTGGATACGCGATATGTAGCCGGTTGATACATGACGCCAAGATTCGTTCCATTCAACGATTCGAGGTTCTCTTGCACGCCAAGATTGGTCAACGTTGGAATACAAGCCTGGAGCTGGGGCGGCGGATTCTCAGTTAGAGCGACTTGGATCGGGCCTCCATATCCAACACCATCGACGCCGTACTGTGGGGAGCCATTCTGTCGTTGGAAGTTTTCTGTTTTCAGCATGCTCGGATACATGTTTTGCCAGTTCCAACCTGGATTCCCGAGCTCTTCCCAAGCATCGTATTCCTTGACAGTAGCACGATTCCAAACAAGCAGGTTCAGGGCTGAAGTACCACCGAGGACCTTGCCACGGTTATGGCCTATAGTCCGGTTGTTTGCTTCAGCTTGTGGCACAGTTGGAAGACTCCAATCGTACGAGGAACCAAAGGTCGAACCCCTCAGTCCAGGTACATAGATTCGTTGCTCGTCGCGTCCATCTGGTCCAGCTTCGATGACTAGAATACAATGGCTTGGAAGAGCATCGCTGAGTCTCGTGGCAAGTGCAAGGCCGGCTGTTCCGCCTCCAATAATGACCTAGACAAAAGGTCAGCTTCGTCGTGTATTCAATAATTGCAGCCTGGAAAATACATACGAAGTCGAAGCTGCCATCGGATACCTGACATGTCTTCGCACTCGCTGCAGGTACGTCATCCAGCACGACCGCGGAGAACAGAGCTGAGATGAGCCACATCGGTGCTCAGCGTCTTGTACACAACAGAAGTCGATACGGTGGTACTCCTGCGTAATGGACGCCTTAGACGGGAAACCTGTAGGAATAAAGAAAGCGGGATGCCTGCTGCATAAGATTCGGAAATACCGCACGGCTGTCTAGAGCAGGCCCGCATTGCCAACGGTTCAGTTAGGCCCATTTTTATCCATCATTGGCCAACAAAGAAGGCTCAATATGCGCCTTCCAGCTACGGCAATTGAGCTCAGATTGATCCTTCGGAGAACCGCTGCCGTGTCACGGAGATAGTCCACACAGAATGTCGAGATTGTAAGGCGTCTTATCCAGTCAGTCAAGGATTGCCTGACGAGATCTGTTTGGCCCTTCAATTGGTCAACGCCTCGCTTGAATACAGCCGGTATGCATGCGCCTGCATATCGCTCGCATGGATACGAATCCTTTCCTGCGCCAAGGCGGGAAAACCGTTTGGTTCGATCCCCGGTAACGCTCTCCATACCAGATACCTTGCATGCCCAAATCAGCAGCGTTACCGGGCTCGCCTCGCGAGCGCGATTGCTACACTCCCCGTGTTTGTAGCCATGTCTTCCCATTGGCTACGCCACCTGCTAGTTGACCTCAAAACACAATAACACCGCCATTGCCATGTGTCGATATGGTCATGCTGAGCCGTCATGCAATAGTACACCGAGTTCCGTGAGCTCTCAAGCACAGGTAAACCGCCGGCGTCGCGGCTATGGACGGTACGAAGCGAGCCAACAAGAACGATTCTTCCCAGTCGACCCCTGCAGCTGAGCGATTCTTCGGCCGCGCGGTGCGTTCCCAGCGTTGACCCAATCCTTTGAAAGCGAAGCTATTCGCCATACGAGGTTTCGCAATAGATCGGGGCGTAACTATGTTGCAAAGTCTAAGCTCGTGCTTTGTTGGTAGTTTTTGCGGAAAGCACCGTGGATCATGCGTCTAAAGTTGCTGCCCAGAAGGATTCTATGCTGGTCTGGTTGTGCCACAAATAGGTTACAAGTATCCCCATCACAGTGACTGTCTTGAATACATTTCTTTACTTGAGCTTCAAGGGCCATTCCCGATGATCGCAGACAGAGGTCCGGCGTTGATCACCGTATCGGTGCTATTTACAACAATTGCCTTCTTCACCACCGTTCTACGGCTCTGGGTTCGCAGGAAGCGCCGAGCCCTCGGCTGGGATGACCACACCATCGCAGTCGCGATGATGCTCACGGTCATTGAGGCCGCAATTACCATCACGGCAGTGACGAGAGGCAAGGGAAGACCCAGTGTGTCGCTTTCCAAGAGCGACAAGGAATTTATCAACATGTACAGTTGGTACGCCCAGCTTGTTCTCTTTGCTGCTATGGCTTCGGTCAAGATCTCGGTCTGCCTGCTCATGACTCGAATCAAACACTCCAGCCAGATGAAATGGCTTGCTGGCTTCGTCATCACCGTTCTGGTCATTGCTGCCCTTGAGGTCATCATCGTCCTGTTGGCCCAATGTCAGCCTATTAGCCTTTACTGGCGCTCGGGACCAGGCACGTGCTGGCCTACAGAAGTACGAATCTACTCAATTTATGCACAAGCTGGTAAGGCATACGAAAGCCATTTCCTGATGGAAAAGCTTACTTGACACCTAGGCATATCGATCATCACCGATCTCATATGCTCCTTGCTTCCTATCATCATTACGCGGGATATCCAATTGCCCACAAGAAGGAAGGTATCGATTTGGGTGCTGATGGCTCTCGGACTGATCTGCACGGCATGTTCTACTGTCAGAGCGAAAACACTTAATTCGAAAGCAAAGGATATTGCCTGTACGTGAAGATTCTTGCGCTGCAATAAAGCCGTACTAACTCAGTTTGACTAGATGAGTACTCTGCCGTAGCCGTCTGGGCCATGACTGAGTTATGCCTTGGTATCATAGCCACTAATCTCGCGCTCTCTCGATCTGTCTATCAGTATTATTTTGGAAACAAACATCCATCCCAGAACAACAGTGGACCCAGCCATGTATACTGGCGGCCTGCGGAAGGAGAAAGCAGGAGCTCAAGCATAACCAACAACGGGGCGAGTGACATACCACTCAAACCAGCCGCTGGTGTCGAAGAAATTAATGAGATCGAGGTGCATGTGTTCTGAATGTATGCAAAATATGACTTATTAAGATTTGGACCGTTGCGTTTTCCAGTTCGCCAGCGAATCCGACTCGAACACAGAAGCCTCAACATCTCACGTACTACCACCAGCAGCTTGAGCAATAACCCTAGCCTCTTCCTTCGATAACCCAACAGTCTCCCCAGTTGGCCTCCTCAACCAAAGGCTCACCCTCTTATCCGTCTCACGCCGCAAATCCTCCTCTGTCCATTCCCTCAAGCGCTCAGCAAATTCACCGACCTCCTCACCATCCCGTGGCACAGGACGTGCGCCGTGCGGATCACTCCCAGCACCATCTTTCCGCTGTCGTTTCCGATATGCGTCGATTAATTCAGCCGTGATTTCGCGCTTTAGTCTCATCTTACTTCTCGCGAGCCCCGTCCTGATGTATTTTTGCAAGAGGTCGTTGCGAATGCCTTCGTCGAAGTATGCCATGACTGTGCCTCCGATGTGCTTTGCATATGTGCCTTCTTTGAGCTCCAGGAGCTCGACTGTTAGATCTGCGTCTTGGCAGACTAGGCCGATTATGAAGAGGAAGAGGAGGATGAAGAGAACGAGGAAACCGGTGTCGGTCCAACGCCACGCGTTTCCGTGTACGAAGGTGTGCTTTTCGGTGAGCCAGAGGTCGACGAGGGTTGGTGGGGCGGGGTCTGACGGTACTGATGGTGGTATGTATGACATGGCTGCTTTAAGCTGATAACGAGATGTGTATGTAGATTTGCTAATGGGATTGCGGTATTTGGTTGTGTTCTTCGAAGGTCTGACACCATAGCACATACGGAGTAGGCGTCTTATGTGAACATGGGCAGACAAAGGTAAGATGAATGCGCGAACATTCTTTGATGATCGGGACAAATGGACAAAGGTCTACGGAGAAAAGCGTTGTACACACCGATCATCCCTTCCAACGTTAGTGCAAAACATGCTTCAAATGCGTGATACTACATGAGAACGGTAACGTCAGATTGAGAAGGCGATTGACTATTGCATACAACCCAGAGTACTAGCCTAACAGACGTATCCACCCGGAGTATTCTAACCATTTGCACCTCCTACAGGCAGCGCGAGCCTCAGTTCCCACCCACACCCATAAAGAACCGTACATCTCCACCCTCGTCCGATCCTCCACTAATAAGTTGCCGACAAATCCTTCCCCGCCGATGTGACCATGCTGTTGCCGGACCCAACCTCCCCTGTCTCATCCCCGGTATGGGTATGGTCTACATCCAAGTCCGTCGGTGAGAGGGAGCCTAAGACAGCCTTTCCAAGTCTAGCATCCTTCTGAATTGCGCTGGTACTTATAGCCGGCAGTTTCATCTTGCGACGGCCTTGGGAGTATCCTGCCGTAGGTGATGGCAGTCCGCGCTCCCCTCCAGATGAGGGCGACACGCCACTTCCGACGAGCGATGGTGTCTTTCCGCTGCTTTCATAGCCGGCGGTGTCGAGTGCGTTGCGTAGGTCATGAGAGGGTTCGAGTGAAGAGACACTCCTGGAATGGGTTGACGCGACAGATGGTGGAAGCTTGGATGGTCTGCCGTTTTGGTGGCCTCGATTCCTGGCACCATTATGCTCGGTGCGATCAGTACGCTTCTTGGTGGGCTTGTGGCCGCGGAGGACATAGTACCACTCATCGGCATTGAGTGTATTTCGAATCCCTTGTTTATCATCCTTTAGACTAAGCCTTTCCTCAGCAGCTGCCATATCCTTCTCATTCAAGGAAACACCTGCGTGTTCACTCGATCGAAGGTGGCTAAGCTGTCTGTCGGAAGACCCTTCTGTACTACACTGCTGCTCTGCCAGATAGTCCAAGTGTTCTTGATGTGGCCTCCAACGCGGTCCCTTCAGTGCCTGTTTTCGGATAACCTCGGTAGGACTGGGGCTTGCTCCTTGATCATCGACGGCTTTATGCGCTCCTCCGTTTAGCATCCATTCGTTGTAACGTTGTGTGACACTCTGGAGTAGCAACTCGACATCTTCCCTCTCAGTCTTCAGTAGACCTCTTTGCTGACGTGGCAGACCCTTGAAATAGACGTCTGACAAATCCATGTTCACGGCAGACGTGAAGTGGCTCACAGCAGCATCCCATTCGCGCAAACCACCGCAGCCACGGCCACACCAGTATTCGGAACGTGCGAGTAGGCTGCGGCTAGATCTGGCCTCGGCAAGTTGGTATGCTTCGACAGCAAACCTATGTATTCTCTTGTAGTAGGACCGTACGATTGCCTCGGCCTCAGCCTCAGACTGCTGTGCCCGGGGTGTGCGCTCCATGGAGTTGATGATTGACTGCAAAACTGCGCAACGATTGAGATACGTTTGGCATTGGATCAGACCCATGGCTACCCTAAATTCGTTGCTGGATTTTTCTTCAATGGGGACACCATTCGCGATAGATTCAGGCGTGATATTCGAAGGGGTTTCGTTGCTGATGTGTTGATCTCTTTCTCGAAATGGTTGACTTAACGGCAATGCGCAGTCGGAAGATTTGTCGTGTTTGGGGGGAGTGGGGAGATTGTTGATGTATGCAGATACATCGTTAGCACGATCCGCGACGCCGTTGAGGGACTTATGGCCGAGGGCAGCGACCTCTAGGGGCTGCTGAACGTTTGCGAACATCGCGATGAAATAATCAGAAGAGCAAAGCTCCTAGTAAGCTCAGGCAAATGTGTCTTGCGATGGCATAGAACTATCAACTTTCCGACTAAAGATGTTCGTGTTTTGGGAATGTCTCAAGCCGCGCCGCATTTGATGTAACGCTCTCCGTAACAACTCTTTGTTTGTTGTCTGCAGCCCTGCACGAAAGCGGAAACCGCCAGAACAAAGGACGGCACGGCTCCTCAAGTAGTGGCTGAACCGCCATGTTTGTGCGAACAAAGAAGCGTGGTACCAAAAGTTCATCCCCTGAACCGCGGAGTACTGCCATGACTTCTCATGATGACAGACCAGTGTGACATGGTAGTATTACTCTCGGTGATGTTCGTCGCTCTTGGCTTTGACCCAGCGGTAGGGCAACGACATTCGTCTCGCTTTCGCGGCGGCGCGCTGCCTAAGTTGCGCACTGGTTCGACGGCGCTTGTTCTAGGAGAGGTCAGTATGCTGTAGGGTATTGGAATCGACGCTGAATTACCTCTGTGCCCTTATCCTCCAGTTGGGCGAGCAAGCCTTCCATAGTGCGGTTCTCATCAAAGCCCGACCGACGCTTGGTACAGCGCAGCAGATCCAGCTCGTCATCGTAAGACTTGCGAAATTCACTGGCTTTAGCGGTGAGGTCGTCATCGCAAACGGTGCTGAAGGCTTCTCGGGCTTGGTGGAGTTGACGCAGCTCATAGTACAACAGGCCACGCTGGTATTGTATGCGCGGCAAGAAGTTCTGAAGCTCAGACAAACGGTCGCAGAGCTCTACGGCTTCGCTGCATGTAGCTAGCGCGTCAAGGAGCTCATCGGGGCCGGAGGCTCTTAAGATATTGCTCTTCAAGAGTAAGCCTTCGGCGCGAGCCTTGTAGCTGAGCGGGCCTTTCAGGAGTCGCTCAACCTCAACCAGGGCAGTGCCGTAGTTACGCTGAGCAGTACACTCTTGTGCGCGCTTGAACAAGGGATGGGTGCATTCTTCGGAGGGCCGTCGCAGGTGAGTTGGCTCGATCTCTTTCGGTAAGCATACAGTAGCGGTGCCAAAAGTGAAATTGACCTGAAGGTCCTCAGTACCGTCGAAGGTAGCAGGACGGTGATTCTCGCGCTCGCCAGAGATTGTCTGGAGACGTTGTTGTTGAGCTCGCTCGTTTTCCAATTCGGCTTGCGTAGCAAAGCACACGTCTTGAAGCTCGTGTAGGCGGGATGTCTGAGCTTCGAAGGCCGCTTTGTATTGGAGCGCCACAGCCTGCCAGGTATCTCGGTCGACCTTGAGGTCATGGACGATGCGTTCGATTTCGGAGATTTGATCCATGCTGATCGGCGGCATCGTAGTAATGCACGAATCGATATGTTTGTGGTCGTGTCCAAAATGACGGGGTGGATGTGACTGTTGGCTCGGCTACTGACGAGTAGGTGCCTGGGTGATGTTTAGAGCAAGCGCAACCTACGAAGAGCAGGCGCTGTGGACGGGTCCTGGTCACGCCTTTTCCGGAATCCGCATATTGTAAGTTGCACCAGGCGTCGTCAGATGTTGAAGCCGCCATGCCTCGATGCTTCGACAAACCTCCACAAGCCAGCTTCTTGGGCTGCTTTTTTGACAGATGCGACTTCATCCAGATCTACAGCGCGATTAATCTCACTATATCGCACGTCTTTCTTAGTCGAGGATGAGTCATCAACACCGCCTGACTCTTTAACGTCCTGGCTTGCACGGCCGCGCCGCTCCTTGCCCACATGAGCTCTTGGAAAATACTGCTCCATAATGTGCACCATGATATCCTTGCTCACGTTCTCGGCAAGCCACTTCACGATCTCTCGTCCTTCGTCCTCCATGCCGGGCATCACCAGGTGTCGCACCAACACTCCCTTCTTGGCGATGCCGTCAGGAGTGAAGCAGAGGTCACCCACCTGCTCGTGCATGGCCTTGATGCTCTCCATAGCCACCTTTGTGTATCCGTCTGCCTTGAGTAACCGACGGCTCGTCGCGTCACGCCACACCTTGAAGTCCGGGAGGTAAATGTCTACCAGGCCATCCATCAACTGTATGCTCTCGAGCGAATCGAACGACGACGTGTTGTAGATGATGGGTATGTGCAGACCGAGATCGCGCGCGTGCAGAATCGATAGGCAGACCTGGGGTACGACATGTTCGGGTGTAACGAGGTTGATGTTGTGGACGCGGCCCACGTCCTGCAGCTTCATGAACCACTCGGCGAGTTGCTCTGGTGTCAGGTCGAACCCGTTGCGCTGGTGGGCTATATCATGGTTCTGAACACGGCGTTAGTGCGCATGCTACGACGAAGGACAGGACAGCATGCCTGGCAGAACACGCATCTCAGGTTGCACCCAGAAAAGAAGACGGACCCGCTGCCATTGTGTCCCTGGAAACAGGGCTCCTCTGATCGGTGTCAGCACGAACACACCTGAAATTTGTCGACTTCAACCCACCACCAAAGTGAGGAGCGATAGTGTTGACCTTGACAGTCTCGGCTCCTATCAGACAAGTGCCTGTCGTCTCGTAACGGTTGACACCGCACAGTCGGGGGCATAGATTGCATTCGCGCAGGTGAGCATACGCCAAGGATCGCTTCTTGGCGGCTTCCACTGAAGAGAGCAGCTGATAGCGCGGTATGTAGTCGTCGAGTAGGTATGGCGGCGCGAGGTAGAGGTTTCGTCGGAATGGTACGCCTCGGGCGCGGAACGAGAGGCGTCCAGCGACACCGAGCTTCAAGGCGGGTCGCGTTCGCCAGCTGAAAGCCATCCTAGCAGGCCCGAAGAGGACATCGAGTTGGTGAGACAACGACGCGTAGGGCCAACGTGTGGTGCGATGCTGCCCAGGTGAGGTTTAGGTGCTGCAGCCACAGCGATGACGACAGCCCCACTTGCCGAGGCTCCAAAGCCGCGCTATCCCCAGATTGACCTATGCCCAACTTTGAAGAGCATCAGGAGGCTTTCCAGGAGCAACTACTTGCCTCCGTGTACTGTCGCCTTCATCCCCGCCTTCGTCTCACGTTACCGTACTACCACATCTCACGCGTTCAGAGTACTTCATCTTCGCCCGCACCGAAAGCTTAGTCTGCGAATGGCTGTTGGCTGCTACACCACCAATGTTAGGCCGGTGGTTTGCTTTGGCACTACATCCAGGAACGATCGAATGGGTTTCAGACAAACCTACCTGCTGGGACCATGTCATGGTCTTGTGATACCTTCCCCGCCCGGAGCCTGGGAACACCGGCAACAATTGACCACACGAATGCAATACTATAGTAGGATCTATTCAAACCACAAGCCAATACACTTCAAACAGCATCGTGCGCCGTGACAGAGCGGTGTGAACAGACTAAAGAGCTGCATTACCATCACTCACGCCCACATCACGCGGTCCTGCGTCATCTTTCGTCTCTATTACTACTAGATTGCGGATTCAGGTAGGACAGTTTAATATGATAGTTCGGAGAAGTTGAGTTGCGAGAATACAGATCTGCATAGCTATCCTAACATGGCGCTTGTCGGGCCTAGTCGCTGACAGCACTCAAGTGCTAATGGACGTCTTCACCTTCAGCAGAAACAGGCATGCACACCTGGCGAAGCAGAGAAATCCGCCCAAGACAGTATCTTTAGCAACCCACCAAATGCGATCGATCAATCGCTGTAGCTACCCGTCTGGTGCCCCGAAAATACCCACGTCTCGGTCGCCAATACCAGCGTGCCTTGCCGACACGCGAATGACAGCTTCGTCGTACTTTGTACTGTTTCCAAAAGTGGACTCATCGCTGCCTTGTTGAGCAAAACGACCACGTAATTGTGCTACGTGGTCTTGGAGTCGCTCTTGCCTTCTTGGGTGGATCTTGTTTTGGTACTGCTCGGTGTGTTGCAGACCGCGACTTCCCCAGGCACAGCCAATGCGACTTCCTAGCTGCTGGTAGGCAGTCACTTGCCTCGCACAAGAAAATCTGCAAGGACGGCACAGCCGTCATCTTAGCTTGTTAGTTAGCATCACCCAAGCGTCCCACTTCACTACCGCTGCACTTCTTCCTCACGTATAAGAGCATCACTGAAGTATCACTACTTCAGCATCGACAGCTTCAGCTTTCACACATCAGCATCTTCCACCCAATCATCGACCCCTCAAACATCAAAATGCGCATCTTCGCTCTCCTTCCCGTCCTCTTCGGCCTTCCAGCCTTTGCTGACCTGGTCGAAACCAAGTTCCCGACATTGCTTCTGCCCATGAAAAGCTCCCAGCCAGACACCGCTTTCTATACCCAGGATGACGCGACCGTCAGCCGCAATGTAAGTGTCTACAAGACCCACAACATGAGCTTGCCAGCTACTAACTTGTCGGTCAGAACAAGACAGACACCGAACAATGGACTGCAATCAACTTCGACGTCCCCCAGATTGACAACGTCAAGATCTGCCGCCTGCGATTCCTCATCAATGTCGACCCCTTCAAGAACGCCCCACTTACCCTCAAGGGCGAAGCTCCTATGGCTATCAGCATCTCTCGTATCGAAGCCAAGCTCGTCAACGGCCGTAGTACCTGGAACAACAAGCCCGCCATCACCGAACACTACGACGCCTACACTCTGACGGCGAACGGCGCATCCGAGGTAGTCAGCAAATGGTTTGAGTGCCCCATGAAGAAGGCCGCGCAGTTCGTCATTCACCCGGCTAGTAAGCGTGACTTGGAGCTCTACTGGTTTGAGCTGAACTACGGTGCCAACGATGGGGGTCCACATGGAGTTGTGCTAGAGATGCACGATTAGGTGCGCAGGCTTCGGATCACATCAGGTTGAGTGAAGACAGATACGGTGGGCAGGAGAATGAGTGGACGAGTTATCAATGGTGGAATTGTCTCTAGGGATCCTACTATTATCCTGAAAGCAGCACAATAAACGCGTTTGCGATACAACATTTCACATGTCCTCCACGTGACCCCTCGCCAGTGCATCGGCTATCCTCTCCCAGGTCCTCTCCATCAACCCCGCTCTTTTCGTGCTTTGCCAAACACCAGTTTGCTCGACCCTTGTAGTTACTGTAGATTTCAGATCGATGAATGGTGTAATCTGATACGTCAGATCCGTCAGCTCGATGACTTCGTTGCCTTGTTCGTCGAGTCTTTTGATGACCACGATGCCGGGTGGGTAGCGACTCGGATGCGTGGGCATGAAGGTGTGTAGTTCGATGACGCTGTCGGTTCGTTTGCACGACTTCAACGAATTCAGTCGGCCGTATGGCGTAATCGAGTCTGACTTTTGGGGTTTGTAAGGCGTGCTGTGTTTGGATTGGGTGCTGTTCAAGGTGGTTGCGATGGTGGATGGTGTGAATGCTAAGTAAGCTGACGGCGTGAGTGTTGAACAACTGTGTGGCGTCTTCGAATAAGACAGAGGCGTTTGTGTCGCTTGATCAGCGTAAATGCGTTCTCGTGTCGCTCTTCTCCTTGGTTGTGATGACTTGTGTGCGTTGCAGAAGTGGCTAGGCACTTCATCGCGAGCGGACATTTCGTCGCCGCTAGATGATACAACAGCACCGTCGCTACCAAACTCTTCTTCTTCGCCGAAACCATGGAGAATGAATCCATGACTGCCGTGAAGGTGTTGATACGGCGAGCCCATACCCAAGCAATTGGTCCCTGGAACGCGAAAACAGCAACACACGAAAGTCGAGCGCGAATCCAAAATACAAACAGGAACCAGAGGGACTCTCCAGTTCATGACAAATATATGCCTCAAAGACGGCATCCACCAATTCCTTTTCAGTTGCGTTATGGTGGAAGAGAAATACCGCACGCTAAGCCCGAATGGTTGTGTCTCCAGGAACGAATGAGGCGTGGTAGTATGTGGCGTTCGGTAACTGACGACACTCCAAGCGTAGGGTAGGATCGGAATTCGAGTCTAACAGAAAATGTATGGCATGGAGTATTCGCCGTATGCCGGAGCAGTCTGCTTTGGCTTCTTTGCTGGTTTCGCGCTGGATGCCTCCTCTCCGAGGCAGTGCGATGTCTTCTTTGCCAGCTTCTTGAGGCGTTTCCACATTGCTTGATCAAGGCAATCGCGCGTGGTGCTTATCTCACCTGCTTCACCGGCGACTCTGTCTTCGATGCGCTTGATGTACGCGTTGTCGCTCTGTTTGGTGGGTGTTTGGCAAGAAGAGCGGTTAGAGGTGCCTGTAGGTCCTTGAAGCCCAGTTGAGATGTTGTCATGGGCTTTAGTCGGAAGAGTGTGGGCGTGGCTTTCGGTGGGAAGATGTTGTGTGAAGTACTTCATGATGGTTGCAGCGGCGGTGGTGGTTTCTGTGGCTGAATCTCTTTAGTATGGTTATTTGGGTTGGGAAGTATGAAAGATCTCTATAAGGAGAGAGAGACCGGTTTATATAGTTGGACTTGATGAAGTGCTGGACGAAGTTCATGTTGCGGAAGCGAAGTGTGAACCATGGTTGCTGAACATACCCAACAAAGCCGCGTACCAATGAACTGGAACTATGGACCAGAACAAGTAACATCATCGATTCTCATCCACCAGAACTTCGGATTACAGCCTCACTTGTTCCTGTTGTGATTCGTCTCTTCCTCCTTTGTCGTAATTGGTGCGATCTCGCCGAAGAATGGGAACTAACCCCAATTTGGAAATATTTGCTAGCGTCTGTAGATGCGACTAGCATTTGTAATACTTAAGATGCGCACGAAGACTTCGAGAGAGTATAAGTAGGGGTAGGGAATGCACAATTACATTGAGCAGAACAGTCGTTCCTCTCATCTGATCTTCCCTAACGGTCTTTCACGTTCAGTTAAAAGCCAAGACTTGTCATCAGCTCACCATGTCTACACACTCCGCCGTTGCAACAGTGGCCAAGAAGGCGCCTCTTGAGATCATCCAAGTTCCCACTACAACTCCGGAAGCGCAGCAGGTTCGCCTTCGTGTCGAGTGGACTGCCTCCACACCCCTCGATCTGCACCAAAACGACGGAGCCTTACTCGTAAAGCACCCTCAGGTCCTTGGTGACAGTGTCGCTGGTACCGTGGTCGAAGTAGGATCGGAAACCAAGCGACTGAGGGTTGGAGACAAAGTGTTTGGCTTTACCTGGAAAGCCCAAGCCCAAAAGGCCTATCAGGAATTCTGCACTACAGACGAATGGCTTCTGGCCAAGGTAAGCTACATCCCATCTTGTCGATTTGTCAGGCAAATGCTGAAGTGTTGTAGCTACCTGAAGGCTTTACTCCGATGGAGGCTGTAACGCTTCCGAATAACTTCGTGACCGTATTCCACTCTCTCACGACAGATCTGGGCCTCGAAACACCCTGGCCGAAACCCGAGACTTATGTGCTTGACGATGCCGGCTCTGCAATATTGGTCTGGGGTGGCTCCTCGTCAGTGGGTCAATTCGCGATCCAAATTCTGCGCTACTACGGTTATAAGAACATTCTGGCGACAGCGTCTCAGAAACACCACGAGAAGCTACGCATCCTTGGCGCGCACAAAGTGTTCGACTACAACAATCCAGATGTAGTTGAGTCTATCCTGGAGGCTGCTGGTGGCCGCGGAGTTCCACTGGTCTATGACTGCATCGGCAGCCTGAAGGGTAGCATCGCACCGATCGCCAAACTTGCGAAGAAGGGTTCCAAGGTCGCCATACTCCTACCCGTGGTTGTGCGCGATTCTACCGACACCGAGGATCCAGAGTATGAGATGGATGTGGGCAAGGTGGCTGAGTGGAATGACGGGGTCGATGTAAGAGGCGTTCGAACACATTTCTACCAAGACGTGAGTCATCCTGGTTTCTTGTCAGAGCAACGCAGCTAACACTCCCCAGAATGAGTTCTTCAAACACCATCTTCAGCCCGACATCATGCCCACTTTGTTGAAGGATGGTGTCGTGACGCCGCAAAAGCAAAGGGTCGTTGAGGGCGCGACGCTGCTGGAGAGGGCGCAGAAGGCGATGGACATGCTGAGACGCAAAGAAGCGAGTATGGAGCGTCTTGTCTGGCGGGTCAGCGACGCATAGTTAGCACACCTGGGCAGTAATGAACAGTCTGCCATCATCTCCTATGTACCTGCAAGTCGGGTGGAGAGCGTGAAGAGACAGCTGAGCAGTTGGCCTGTGGCCGAATGGCTGCCCAAGTGGGCATGACGCGCTTACCGAAACGAGCCGCTAGCGCGCTTTGAGCATTCGACTGTGCCCAGGTGGGCATCTCTGACCCCAACACCAGTCAAGAATACATGAACGAGTGAAAATTCCATTCAGTGCGCTTTGCGACCAGGTGCCACGGGCTGTCTCTTTCACGCTGCCTGTCTCTCTCTCCGCGTTGATCGTATGCCTCGGCATCGCTACGATCACTAGTCGATGTCCAGGTCTGTGGTAGATGCGGAAACTAATCGAACCCGCATGTTGATCGCTACCGTGCTTACATTTCGATGGAAGGTGAGGGTATATTCGAATGTCCAAGGTTATAATGAGTATGGCTAAGCTTTCTCGGCAACGGTATCCCCCATGTCGTTGAAAAATCTACGACCAGACAAGCTATTCGAAGATCGCAGAGCTTGTGTGGCCTTCATGAGGAGGGGTAGCTTATGGCCGACCGCGTGTGAGACGTTCGCATTTGGAGCCACTCTGTATCAAACACTAGATCAACCGACCTTCTCTGCGGCATCCGGTCCACCTGTAGCAGTATTCCCACACAGCCATACTGTGCGATAACGCCGTTTCCACAGTAATGTGGCGCCTTTAATCACCGCAGAGTGATTCGGTCTCCGGCGCCGCAAAGGGGCAAGAAAGATGCACGGGAAGGACTCATGTCCGCTGTGCAAGACATGCGATCACTTCGCATCGACCAGACACACACAGCACTGACACCTGGACCGGACACCGATCTCCACTCACTGAGCTTTTCATAACCTCGGAGATAAAGTCGTGGTGTTGAAGAAGGATCGAGGCGACTCAGCATCATCGCACGCGAGATTGAGCGGCTCCACCAATTTCCGAAGGCTAGCGCACACCGAAGCCGCCTTCCGATCAAGCCACTGCCACCGGTTCAGTCTGATTTCATCCAACGCAGGACAACAACTCTTCGAACTCTTCATATGGCGTTCAATGCATCGCAGAAAAGGTAGCGCGCGGTATCGATACACATGACGCAGTTGAAGATCCTGTAATATGGCCGACCAGGTCGGTGGGGACGCCACAATCGCATGCATTGAGCCTCGGAGCACCTGAAACCCACCGTACGCTCGCGACCGTTTCAACCCAGGATCATGGGCGCTTCTACCAGGTAGGACGGTTCGTCTATACTGCCGTCTAGGGTTAGCCACTTACGAGAACCGGTTGGTTTCCTGTCAACAGGCATGGTGGCCGCTGTCGCGGGAACATGTTTGCTTGGCCTGCAGTATCGAACGGCACCCTGCGATCTTAGTCACAACATCGCTCCCTGTGACTGGTGGATGAACCGGTTCAAGCATGACAAGAGGACCCACGCCACGTCTGACATCTCAGGAACAGGCAGGGCGTGGGAGTCGTTTGAATCGGGGGCACAGTAAGCGCTGTTCGAGGCTGCAATCCATCGGTCACTTGTTTCGCATGTTTAATGACACGGCCCACAGATTGAGTGGTGAACAGGAATAGTGCCATGCCGCCGTATCGTATATAGGTATCTTGGTACTCTTGGGTTTCCTCCATCAAACAACAGTTTCTTCACTTCCAACCACAGCTTCCTTGTGCATCTTAGGTCCGAGACCTCACGTTCTTTTCAACACCACATTCATTCATCACACTCGTTCACGAAGCTAGTCTTCCATCGATCTATACAGCAACTCTCGCTCTTCTCAAACAACCCAACAACATTCACAATGAAGTCCTACACTGTCGCCGCCGCCGTTGCCGGCTTTGCCTCCTCCGTCGCCGCCCACGGCTTCATCAGCGAGCCCGCTCCTCGTATGCCCGGTGATGGCCTCAAGGCTGCCTGTGGTGACCAGTTCTACAACACCCAGTCGTCTGACCACTATGGCAATGTCCAGGGTGCTCTCCAGAACCTCGGACAGGGTGACCACCCCGACTGCCGCCCGTGGCAGTGCAAGGGTGTGCCATTCACCGATGCTGGCGAGATCTTCGAGTACACCGCCGGACAGGTCATCCCCATGAAGGTTGAGATCCGTGCTCCTCACGACGGTGTCGCCAACGTTTCCATCGTCAACATCGCTACCGACAAGGTCATCGGCGAGCCTCTCATTAGCTGGGACGAGTACGCCCTCACCTCCTCCCCCATGTCTGCTCACCCTGACTGGACCTCGTTCGACATCACTATGCCCGATGTCAGCAAGGAGTGCGCCAACAAGGGTGACTGTGTCATTCAGTGGTTCTGGGACGCCCCCAAGATCGACCAGACCTACGAGTCCTGCATTGACTTCACCATGGGTGGTGGCTCCGGCTCCGGCAACGGCTCTGCCCCCGCGCCTTCAGCTTCTCCCAAGCCCAGCGCTCCTGCCGCTTCCGCCCCGGCTGCCAGCTCTGCTGCTCCCTCCAGCACCGTCCCTGAGGCCACTGCCACCCCCACTCCTACCGCCGCTGAGGAGGCCGCTACCCCTGTCGCCACCGGTGGTTCCGACTCTGGCTCCGACTCCAGCCTCCCCGAGTCCTTCACCATGGACACCTTCATCACCTGGCTCCGCGCCAACGCTGGCACCGGTGTCGCTGACAAGGTCCGCCGCATGGTAGCTGCCCAGCGCGCTCACCCCCGTGCTTTCCGCGTCTAAATCGCTTAGACAGACGCTTTGTACGATTGGTACGGCATACAAAACTTATTGTGTAGGGAGGAGAAGATGGCTAGAGTTACTGTTCGATTCTGTTGTAAATATACAATTCAATGATGCACATATTTGCTCGCCTTGCGCGGCGCTATAAACCTTGTCGAAACGTGTTCCTTGTGATGTTTGTGGTCTCTACTTCATCTCTTATTCAACTTTTAAGATTTGTTAGTATCGGTGAGGAGTTGGAGCTTTGCAGCTTCGCGAATGGTGACCAGACTCGGCCGCTGTGTCCTGAGGAAGGACAGGGAGGCAGGGCAAGAGAGTTCTCGGCTTCGCGGTTCCGTCAATGACGTCACCATCACCGAAAACACGCGACGCGTCTCCGGCGTGTCGGCCACCTAGGTACTTGTCAAATACACCACCCTTCTCGCATGCGCATCCACTATCCAATTGTATCATTGTATGGCAGCGGAACGAAGAATTTAGTATTTACGATTCATTAAACTACGGGCTAACAATAGATTACAACATAAGAATAGAGCTTCCACAGCTCCGCGAATGACGTCTCCAAGACCGAAGTCCACACTCTAACTACAGCGCCGCCAAAGCTCTCCATCTTCATTACTGAACGACTCTGGACAACAGAAGATAATGTACAAAACATCAATTACAAACAGTACCACAAATTCGTACTGCGCCAACGTATACTGGAAAATAATCAATCGGGACTAGTTGCCACACTACCCAGGTGGTCAACAAGTAGAGGAAAGAAGGTCGGAAAGAACCAGTGCAAGTTGAAAGTACGTCTCCTAGCGCTTGCGAATGCAAAGGTACGTCGCCTCGCCATCCGAGATAGTACGTACCCACCTTGCACAAGAAGAGAATTGAACTGGTCCGCAGCCTACATTAACATGGAACCATGCAAAGTAGGTAACATACGCCGATGTAGGCTCCAGGTCTGTTCAAGTTCTTCCTAGGTTGACATGTGCTCATGGTATAAGGGCTGGCTCTGACGGCTGCTGGGGGTACCTGACATTCAGTGCCCGCTGTCCTGGTGCTGCCAGGGGTCGAAGACGTTCCCACCTACAACATCGTTCACGGTGAAGGAGGGCAAAAGCTCCATGTCGGCAAGGCAGACACCCATCTCAGGATGTTGCGCGAAGAGGTTGGCGTTGCTCGACGCGTCGTCTGGCGGGAACGGTTCCACACCATGCTGCCAGTCCTCAACTCCTGGGAACTCCGAGCTGCCGACTGGATCCAAGTGTGCGAACACGTCTTGAGAGGATGCATCTGGCCGAACTGCATGTCCCCAAGGACTGAGGAACGGGTCTGTGTTCCTGTTCGGTGGCTTAACGTCATCGGGGCTAGCAGAAGCTGAGAACCTGCTCCGTGGCATCGGCGGAGGTGGGAAGGGCGAATGCTGAGTAGGTGAGATTGAGGTGATCGGCGAGAGAGGCTGAGCTTGTGGAATCTGCGCTTGTGTAAACGATGACTGCATAGGAGGCGACGATGCGGAGATAAGACGTTGGTCGAACGAGGTATGGTACGATCGAGGTGGAGGACGCATTGCCGGGGCCTGAGGTGCTAGAAACCTAGACCGAGGGCTGAAGGCCGTCATTCGCTGGGCCACTGGCGTAGTGAAGTACGGCGAGCCTGTCGGTCCCGAAGACTCCTGCGGTGTGTTCGCACGCGACAACGGCAGCTCAGAAGCTGGTGAAGAGTGACCACGCGCGTGTCCGGTCCGTGGAGCAGCGCTGGTACGTGACCTCTTCGCTGCGCGCGGATTGTCATCAGGTACACTGTGACCTTTGGCGTTCGGCCTCTTGCTATTACCCACCCGGTTCTGATCCTTGCGCTTGGAATATGCCTTAGGTGCGTTAACGAACATGCGGATCTGCCACGCCGAGCACATGACGTTCTCGCAAATGCACTTCTCTTGTGCCAGGGCGGTGACGATGTTATCTAGCCGGCCGGCACAGTCGGTATCTTTGTCCTCGTCCTCGCCCTTGCGCTCATCGTTGACATAGTCGTTCTGCTGCCAACCGCGGAACCCTTTCCTGACCTGCTCGAGCAGGCAGTCAAACACCTTGTGCGCGTATGCTTCTACCAAGTCGGACTGGTAATGTGGCTCTTCGATCCATCTCTTCCGGGCGGTGGATTTGGGGTTGTCTCTGGCATGATCGCCGCTGACCATCGCATTGTAGATGCGCTCTACGTTGCGATCGCGATCACGTTCAACCATCTCGATAGTCGGGTCAGTGGCAGGATCCCTCCATGGCTCACGGTTGAATCGCATCTTGTTCTGTCGGTATTCCTTCGCGTCCCCAGAGTCATTGAAAAGACCTCGGAATGGTTCGTAAAGCTGATGTGCCGCCTGCGGTGCCATGCTAGAACGTTCTGTCGACGGCATAGGCGCGAGTGAAGGGCCTTCCCTGGAAATAGACCGCTGATGTATCGAGTATGCATGCGCGGGACCTTTGCTCATGAGTTCGCTGTTCCGACAGCTCGGGCTGGTCAGATCAACGTAGCTGTGGCCACGCAGATGGTTGTTGTCGCTGTGGGGAACGAATCGCGATGTCTGCATGGCAATACGTGGATCGTGCGATACGGTAGTGGCCGCTTCGAATCCGGTACCTGACACATAAGATTGGCTGAAGTCGTTTGCATGACCGTAGCGTTGGCCGGGAGGCCCGCGGGAACCATGCGAGGTTCCCGCGTTCTGTGGACTGTGTGTGGCCTCTCTCAAGTAGCTGCGATTGCCTTCGACGTCAAGCGGGGTATAGACATGCCGTTCGGCAAAGGTATCGCCAGGTTCGTGTTCGCTCTGGCGGAGTGACTTCTCCGCCTGGCGCGGAGATTCCTTCATGTAAGTGCTGATGCTTCTCGCAGGTACGGAGTGTTAAGTGTGATGTAGGGTTTGAAGAGAAGAAAATCAGAGGGGGTATTGGTGCTGATATGTAGGAATATGTGATCGGGAATAATGTGAAGAAGGACTGGGAATGTAAAGCTCCAGTATCAATGTGCCTTCATATATCGTGAAGAGCACGGCTTTATACATTGAACGAACGCTCACCGCAACCGCTGTGTCGGTCCGTCGCTCAAAATACCCGTTGATACTCATGGCCTTTCGCGATGCCTTGTGATCAGGCTGTGCGTTGGGAGCTCGTGGGGTTGCTGGAGATGTGGAATGCGTTCGTGACGGGGGCCTCAAACCCCCACACATCGTTGCATGTGCCATGTGCTGCTCAGGTACGTGTTTGAACATCAGCTCGTTCCGGTGCCGCGCTGCTCACGTGTCTCGGGCCGCGCATCGGAGCGGTGGTGCCATTGTCCAGACTTAGCAACGAGGCTCTTGTGATTCGCTGCGATCGTCTCCGGTCGTCTTCTCCGTCTCTTTGACTCTTCGTCAGTTGCGTGGGACTGTTCAGCTATGGTATTCACCTTTGCATAGCCTTGATGTGACATGGACTTCTCTCTGGGACTGCACAAGTCTGGAATGTACTGAGTGTGACTGTTTCCTGCTAGATCATATGTCGCCACAGTCGATGCGTTGTCCATCACATACTGCCTGTATACATCTCTGCGCAGACATGCTGCTGAAAGCCACCGTTCATTCGCGTAGATGACCTGGATACGGCGACCGTCCTCAGAAGAGATCAAGCTACTTGGGTAGTCCGTGGCGCGGTAGCCGCTAGATAGAATGCAATACACATTATCTTTTCTGTAAATTATACTCCCTCTTTTTGGTTCCGCCAAGTCCATGGATATATCTCGCTTCCTTCCTGTCACAACCTCATTCAGTAGAATACGAAGCAACGCTAGTATACCCGCATTTGCCCTGTTCATATATCGCAAGTACACTAACGATCAATGTCTTCGTGTTGAAATTGAATGGAGTACGACGCTATCGGGACAAGAACCTTGTAAAATATCCAAGGGTCACAGCAAGCAGATGTGACGGTTCAAATTGCACTTCATGACATGAGAACTGTATGTATACCAATGTAGATGTGCATCAACAGAGTGACTGTGTTGAACAGTACGCTTGAATAAGAAAGAATAATCCATTTGAGTAGACCCATTCGGAAAGTCCGCTGATGCATCTTACGCTACCCTTTGCCGTTTCGCTTCCCGGACTACTCTCTGGTGACTAAAGTAAGTGTTGATATCGAAAGTCTCCTCGGTTTTCACCGGTTTTGGGAATCTGTTCCGCAATTGTAGGTCTTCCAGTTTCCGCTGAACTGTTATGCGTAAGTGGATATCGCATGTAATCGTAGGCTACTGGCTTACCATTTTCGCTGCGCATAAACAGAATGAGATCTGCATTAGGGTCATGCGTAGGATGATCCCATATGTATTCAGGCATTCCAAACCAATGCGATCTGATAGCGCACCGATTCATGAAGAAAAGGTGGAACGTCCTTAGATCCCTCATGCGATACGCCTGTTTATGACCTGTGAAGATCATATCGGCAAGTTCTCGTTCCGTGGTAAGTCCTCTGCCGCTTCTCATACGGCGCGTCTCCTCGTCCCAGAACTCGTCACTATACTTTCCGATCCAGAAAACAGCCTGCTCTGAGCTCTCTGGTACCTTCTCAGCCGTGGCCAATTCCAACGCTGCCTCAATATCATTGTCGCGTTGTTCGCGTTCTATATTGCCTCCCAAATAGTCGTCCACTTTTCCTCGGTTAGTCCAGCGTACCAAACCAACCGAGGCATGCTCTGACATGGGGGATACTAACAGAAATGGGACATTTTGTGGTCTTCCTCCCATTCTCCAAGAGCACCGTGCCATCTGGGGTCCTTGCATTGTTCCATTACATTCTCGAAGGCGTTCTTATTAGGAATCTTATAAGCACTTATCGACAAGCGCGTATAGTCTGTAGTGTAGCAACGCTCAGCCACCCCTTGATCGATAGTATACATCTTGAAGGGTGGGAGGTTCGGAAGGTTTCGGTCGAGATAGGACATCATGAAGAAATTCGCTTCCGCTGGAATCACTCTAT